AAAAAAACGACAGCAACTTGTCTGTTCCCCTTCCCCCAATTCCCCAGCACTGTTCCCATCCCCCAATTCCCCAATAAAAATCTTTAAAAAAAAGTGAACTACAAAAACAGTCCCACTTACTTTATTTACCATCACGGGCTTGGCCCTGTCAACACCTATAACTTTTGGGTAATAGTGTCCCGGGTACAATAAATCTGTAAACCCACTAGTCATGAGTTATTGGGCAAGCATGTAAGAGGAAGCTCATTTTGGATGTCAGTAAATTGACAAACTACCTGTCTGTCTCATGTCCACAGCACTTGATGTTCCTCAGCAGAAAGGTGTTTTCTGAGACACTGGCTGCCCAAAGATGTATTAGGGCAAACCAACATGGCGGTGTTTTCACAGCCATGTCTTCTGGGGGGTGTGGGGCTGTCTCTCTCCTTTCCGAGACCAGCGTGTGCCTCCTCTCTCTGTCTCTCTCTTGGGCCCACCCCTAACCTGCTGCCTTCTGTGGCTCTGTGCCCCTGCTCAGTGTTTAATTTAAAAAGCTGATTCTCCTGGGGTCTTGGGTACCAGCTCCTTTCTCTGGCTGGGCTTCTGCTTTTCTCGCTGGGGACCTTGCTCTCGGCAGCTGGTCTTGCATCCAGTTTTCCTCCACAAGCTTGGATGCACCCTCATCCACATGTTTGGCATAGAGGTCTGGGTGATTAGTAAGCAGGCTTTACAAACAAAACGTACCTAAAAATAAATGAAGCGCTTTCCAACTCACTCTACCTTATCTAAAATGTCACTGAACTCGGTCCAAAGTGCTACGTGTTGTGGTTATTCAGACAGAGCATTTCCATTCCATTGCATCTTTTTCTGTTTCCCAATTAAACAACTACATTGATGTCTTTCTTGAGCACACGGTCTTCCAATGATAAGTTTCAGAGATCCGACTATCACGTGTAGTTAAACTCAACCGCCATTTATTTACTGAACATCTCTTTTAGAGTTCAAAGCCCCAAGCTAAAATTCAGATGTTGTCAAGTGCTCTTCTGAACTTGATTTTGCCTTAAGCACAGAGCCTGATAAGTCAAACGCGACTTATGAATATTTAGCTGCTTCATAAGCAAATGAGACATTTTTAATGCAGTAAAAATAAGATATTAGGCAGGTAGCTTAGATATGAAATAAAACATTTTAAAAATCATTTTACTAAATATATATTGCAACTTTTCTATAAATGTAAAATTATTTCCAAATAAAAAGTAAAAAAATTAAAACATTTTGTTTCCATATTGTTTCCTCTTAAAATACTCACACCCCTTCTTTTGTGCAATTAAAACATTTTTAATTGCATTTTACCACTGCGTAGCTTCTTGCTAGCCCTAAGATGATTTTGGGAAAGAGCAATACTTTGATGTAATTTAAACAAAGACTTTTGGTTTGCTTTGTTAGGTTTACTTTAACTGTCCCTGGATGGTGACCACATGCACCCTGGGTGCCCTGCTGCCAAGGGAGCAAGGTCAGAGTTCAACGGTATTGGTACAGAAATCTAATTCTTAAGTTTGGACACAGACTGTGCAAACAGACATCCCGACTGAAGGGCTTAATAAACATTCTGTATTGATAGTGGGGGCAGGGGCTATGCTGGTGGGAGTCCAGAGTGGGGATTGAACTTACTTCAAAACCTGTAAAAGTCCGGGTGTCACTGACGTTGGTCTCACCATTCCAGCTCCACTAATGGTCCCCAGATGAACCTGAGGATAATAGAGTGTCCGGAGAGCTAATCTTGAAGACTGCAGCCTCGTCTTAATGACTTCTAGTGGACAAGTGACAATAGCACCAACTGTTCCCCCACACCTGTAAGAAAACACAACAGGATCAGAGAAGCTATACCATTCTCTACACAAACAAAATGTGAAATTTAATTTTCATTTATTAAAAAGAAAAAAGGCACCTATGTTCATTTCATGATTAGAACATTCAAGGAGGTAAAAAAAATTATAGTCGAAATCCCAGCAGCTGCAGAACTAAGCACTGTGAACAGGTTAGCACATCCTGTAGGGCTCTTCATTACTGGCTTTTTAATGCTGCTTTTTTTCTCCTCCCTTACCTCGATATTGTGAATATAAATATATATATATACACCTACATCATCATTTGGAATGGCTACATACTATTCCCCTGTATCGATGTGTACTATTTTAGCCAATTTCCTACTGTTAGACATTCATGTCACTTCCAATTTCACTAACCTATTGCAGTGAATATTCTAGAAAATCATCTTTTCACAGTCAAAAATAGTTATTCAGGTAAAGTCACTATTTGAAGATCAATGTTTACTACAGCACAGACTATTTTTTTTTAAGATTTTATTGGGGAACTGGGGAAGGGGAACAGACAAGTTGCTGTCCTTTTGTTCTTTAGTCTAGCTGTGGAGGATGTTGCTTCACTGGCCCATGTTGGTATTATCATTGCGCTCTTCCTGGGTGAGGCAGTTGCTCACGGCAGCTCATGAAAGCTCAGGCTAGCCCCACTGCAGCCTACGCCGTCGCCCACGACTCATGGCAGCCCAGCTCCAGGTCGAGCTGTTGTTCACCATCTTAGCTGTAGAGGGCGCAGCGTCACTGGCCCACATGTGGGATCGAAACTGGAGCCCTGTTGTCAGAGCTGGCATCCCAAGCCAGCTCTTAATCAACGTGTCACTCAGCTGGCCCTACTTTTTTTTTTTTTAGCTGAACCATCCTGCCTCCTACTACCTGTTGGCAGCTCAGCGGCAGCTCAGCTCAGGCCAGGAATCGAACTGGCGACCCTGTTGCTCAGAGCTCACACCCTTGAGCGAGCTCTTAACCAACTGGGCCACTCGGCCAGCCCTAGACTTTTATTAAAATCTATTAATTTGGACTTCACTGAAAGTTAAACTAGAGCTCACTTTTCATGACGAAGTCCTTGTGTTTCCCTCAGTCAGAACCAACCAATTCATCCTCTGCCTTTTCGTTAGTCACACATCTCTCTGGTAAGGGTTCCCCTAATGACCCTTTATAATTTGTTCATAGTGAAACTATTACCTGAGTTAAAGTTTTAAGTGTATTTCTTCAAGACAACTCACTTATCCTAAAATACTTACCTCCATCTTTTGTTAACCAATAATATCCAGGAACCCGCGAGCTTGATGATCAACAATGTCGCATATCGTCTAAAGCCATCCCCACACCACCAGCGACACAGGCTCTAATCTTTGGGAGACACGGACAATCGGGACCTGTCTTACTCATCTGTATCCCCGGCATCGGGACTCACACGTTCACAAACAGTATTTGCTAACCAAAGGGATTATTAAATCGAAGTTTCAAGGAGAAAGTCTCTTAAGGGCTCTAAAGGTTTGACAACAGCACTTACTGCCAGCCTGCCATCAGAGGGGCCGCCCCTGGGAGGGGCCGCGTGCTCCTATATCTTGCACTTAGGGAGAGTACAGCACTGGCACACAGCAGCGGGTTCAATAACGATGACAGATACAGCACCAGCATTTTTGACTGGAAATTAGGTAACACCAGTAAGGCAGGCAGGATGGGCCAGTGCACAAAATATTATGTGGGTTCCCATCCTCCTCAGTGGAGGTGTTGGAAATCTACGTCTCAACAAGGTTACACACTTTCCCAAAGTCACAAAGTGGTTAAGTGTGTAACCTGAAAGCCAGATCCAGAACTGCTGTCTCCAAAGCCTGTGCTCCGCCCAGGCTAGGTATCCTCTGGGGGGATTATGGGAAGACAGGTATTACATATGGTTTCATTTCTAATTTACACTATTTTAATCCAAACTCAAGATGGTAAACTGTTGAGTAGACAACTAGGTCTTTAAAACTCTAATGTGTCCTTTTATATCAACAAAAAACTGTGAGCCCAACTGAATGCTGCTCTAAAACACTGACTCTGTGCACTAGACCGTATCTACAGAAAATGGGGCTAAATGCATAACGGGGAGTGTTTCAAAAAAGAGGCTAAAACAATAACTTCCTAACCCAGGTCTATTCATATAAAATAATCGCTCTTCTCTATTACAATAACCATGTGCTTAAAAGTATAATATTTTAAAACACTGGGAAACTTACGTGCTACACAGTAAGATAAAGAAATATCTGAGATCTATTTACATTTATGTTCAATAACATGACTCCGTATCACTGAAAAAACAGAGCTGTGTCAATTCTTTCATCAGAAAGTCAACAAGTTCGCATATGACACAGGTTAGCCACCTTTGCTGTGTCCCCAAGTCAGCTGTACGCCTTACTCTGGCCCAGTCACCTAAATCTATGCCACTGATCAAAGGATGACCTGTGGAATGGTGTGCTTGCCTAACAGGGCCGGTGGCCTCCTATCAGCGAGTCGGTGCCCTCTTTGAGGATGGCAAAGTGATATGTGCCACCACAGTCCTGTTTCATCTGGTGCACAGTGCACCCAGGGCGCGGGGTGACGGGGAGGGGGAAAGAGGCCCTGCCTGGCCTTCTCAGTCACTTACCAGGGGACAAAGGAAGGCACGCTAGGGCTTAGATGTCCCTTCTATAAGACAGGGATGTTGCTGCCTCTCAGTGTCAAAGGAAACAGCTAAAAAAAGGGAAAACACTGCGAACTGTAAACAACAGGATGAAGTTACTACTCAGTAGGTAAGTCCCTCCTTACCTACTAGGAAAAAACTTGATGAAAAATATCCAAAGGTATTTGAAATCATTAAGCTGTGCTGGATAGTCACTAAATTACTCTTAATCCGAAGAAAACAGGTTCTTTCTTTTTCTAGCTGAGCCATCCTACCACCTGTTGGCAGCTCAGGGGCAGCTCAGCTCGGACCGGGAATTGAACCAGTGACCCTGTTGCTCAGAGCTCGCACTCTTGAGCAAGCTCTTAACCAACTGAGCCACTCAGCTAGCCCTGAAGAAATCAAGTTCTGATGTTAAACTAAAATGTCCAAAGAAGAGTCTTCCTGAAATTTAAAACATTTCATAGCAGGATTTTAAAAGTATCTTTCGGCTCAACTTATTTTTCTTTCTTCGTGAACCAACATGTACAAGACATTCATCAGTTTGAGAAAATAACTGAATCAAAATGTTGACGTCTCCAGGTCGGCTTTCCAAATTTTTCGAAAAATATTTCATGGTGGGTCCAGAGCACTTAAGAGTACAACAAATTATTTTGTGCAGAAAAGAGTTCCTGTCAACTCACAATGCTTTGACACCAAGACCTTCAGTGCTGGGCTGGCTCCTCACGGTCAACGGGCTGGGACGAAGGCCCGTTCACGCAATCCTGCAGGCTTTCTTCACCAGGCTTCTCTGGAGTCTCAGTTCACAGAGGGCAGGGACCTCAGCTCTGCCAGGCAGCCCTTCTCAGCTGTGCTCCACTGAATCACCCCTTTCCTATGATGTCACAGGCAGATTATTCCACGACTTTCTGGTAAGTTTGGGTTTTTTTCAATTCAGTCCCATCTAAAACTTCAATTTCAAATCTGATTCAAAACCACTGCCAGCTAGACATGTGGCTTGAGGGGATGTGTGATCTGTTCTTTGACATTTTCTTGCCTGCTTTTTAGGGTTCTCTGGGCATGAGGACAGGAAGAAGCAGGCTTATGTAAATGGTCTGGTCTTGCTGTGGGTCCACCTGGCTGTGTAATGGATCAGTGGCCACAGCAAATGTTATGATTTTTGTGTAGATGGTGTGCCACCTCACCGAGAGCCCCAAAACTTGGAACCCCCGAATTGGTCCCACCCATAGTCCATCCCCCAATCTCCTTTCGGCCTCAGTTGGCCTGGGCACCTTGCGAGCAGCATTAGGTGCCTTCCCTTTCTCTGGTCCCCACGCTCCTGACACAAGCCAGAGGGGCCCGCCAGCATCCTTCCCTGCCCACCATGAGGCACCAAGACTGGCACTCAGTAGGAAGTCACCCCCATGTCCTTCCCAAGCACACCACCCCAGTCCCTTCCCATCCTGCTGGCACGGGCTAATGCAGCAGGAAGTCTCTGGCTACAGAACAAGTTGCCTGTCTCAGCCTCACCAGCTCCCTCAATCTACAGGGCCAGGGACAGGGAAGGAGACAGAGACAGGAAAAGCTCTCTCAACACTCCACATGCCACAATGTTGACAACTATAGCCTTCCTGCTCTGCGTACAGTCTGGGGGGAATGGTCAGTGGCAATCGGCAGATACGGCCACCTCTTTGTGTGTCTAGGGAAGGCTCCTCTGGGTTTAGCTCAGGGCCCTCGTAGCCAATGCTCAGACAACAGGAAAAGTTGCATTCAACATCCAGTTACATGGTGACACAGTGTTGGCATCACATAGCCAGGAGACTGACTAATTCTGATTAGATACCAATATTTTAGACCCCTATTCTCCAAAGTGGGGGGCAAACTCTAAGAGGTATGCACAATGATCCCTGGGCATACAGGAAGAAAATAGTATAAAAAGACATCAAATTTTACTTATAATCTCTACCATTTAATTTCTATTTTGTGCATGTTTCCTAATAAATATAAAATTAGTAGGGTAATACAAATATACATGAGGATACGCACAAACATTTTTATCAAAGTTTGAAGATCACAATTCTAGACCAGGGGTTCTCAACTGGGCAATTTTGCCCTCACCCAGTGACATCTGGCAGTATCTGGAGACATTTTTGATTGTTGCAATTGGGAGAGGGGGTCATTAGCATCTAATGGGTAGAGGCCAGGGGTGCTGCTAAGCACCCTACAATTCACAGGAGAGCCATGGCCCACCCCAAGCAAATAATCACCTGGCCGAGGTTGAGAAGCTGTTCGACATCAATAAAATGGACAACATATTTGAAGGCAGTAACCAGTGTGGAGGGCACTGCTGCCTGTCTTCCCAGCATCCATCCCTTCTCCCACTCGTAAGATCCCAGATTTCCAAAGCCTTATAGTTTGGATGGGATTGAATCCATTTCTATGTTTAGCCCCAACTCAATCAACAGAACACCATGCACGTTGCCACATGGTTCAGCGACGGGCATGTGATTTGGCCCAAAGAGAACTGGCTGGTTTAGAGATGGACAAGCCCAAGTTGGTCCAATCGGAGTAAAGCTCAAGACTTGTTCAGTGGTGGTGAAACACTGGGAGCCGCTGGAGGCCATTTTGTGTGCATGCAGGGCCAGCCCTGGAATCCAGCAGGTGACACACACGGTTGAGCTATTTTGATAAGCAGTCACCAAAGCCTCAGCTCTCTCTAGCATTCATGTGGATGTGCCAATAATCAAGCCAGTTGGAACTGAATTTTTTACTTACAACTGAAAACCTCGTAAATAAGCCCAGTCAAAAAAAAATTTTCACCTTAGCTTTTCAAGAAAGCACTTAAAGGGTTTTACTCTTATCAGTAATCTTCCAAAAAGCAGTTAGGACTTGTGTTTCTAGTAGGCTAGGTTCCTAAGAGCCATGAGGAAAATCCCCGGATATTAACTTAACTCGCCCCTAGGATATTCCATTCAGCGCAACCATCCAAAAGGTTTGAACAGAGCACCAGAAAGGCCATGAGTAGCAGTTAAATTATGTGTCTCAGAGCAGTCACCAGAGACAATTACTCTCTGAAATCTATTTGCCGAATTTTCTAAAAAAATCTATCGCCTGGATTCTTCTGTGCCTTTTCCCTTTTACTACTTATTCCTTTTTCTATAAAAACATACCCTCCCCCCATTCTCTACTTTCTCTCAGTCTTCTGGCCCAGAACTGAAGTCTTATGTTTATTACATGAAGATATATTTAACCATTTATCTTTTTACCCACATATGCCTGGCTTGATTTTTCCCCCCTGTAGATTAGGCTCCTCTCCTCCAGTTTACAGCAAAGCTAGACTATTACTACTTCATTATACATTGGATCTTTATGTGATCAGAGATATAAAAACTTTAAATCATGTACACAAATTTTTACCTGTTAACTCTGAGTTTCAAGTAACAAGCACAGCTTTTAAAACTATACGTTTTCAATAAGAATCTGGTTTTCTATATGCACACTGACACATTTTAGGCACTAAAGCCAAGACCAATATGCTTTTTATTGTAGACGCTACCCAACTGATAGTAAACTGGCTTCCAGACACATAGCGTTTACATCACTACATGGATTCTACCAACGAATGATACTTCCAGACACCCTGTGACCCCAATCTTTGGAGCTTTTGGTAAGTTCCCCTTTTCATCTGCACCTTCTATAGTCATTCCTTGAAAAACACTAGTGCCTCTTTATATAGAATTTTCTGGAATGTTTTATTTGAATACCTGGCATAAGGCTTAAAAGATTTTGATTATGCAAATTCTGTATTCACTCAGTTAAAGCAAAATGCTTAGTTTTAGATGCAGCTAATTATCCTTTAGATGCTGTTTCCTGTATTCTATCTCATTTAGAAAGAAAATTTGAAATAGCACCTGGAATGCATGAAAAACTTTATAGTACTTTCTGAACCTGAAGAGAATCAGTATCTTTCACAAATATACAAATCCAAAATAATGTTGCCTTATGCCAATACAGTTTCAGCAAATCTTAATATAGAACCATGCTCATAATTCACAAATAATCAAAGTACTGCTTCTCTTAATTTGGGACATTTTAACAAACCACATCAATCCATACTCCCAGGTAAGACACACAATGCCCTTTATTCATTGAGTCATTAAACAAGTATTGATTAAGCACCTGGAACATGGAGAGTACTGCACTTGGAATGTACCAGTGAAGAAAACAGACATGGCTGCTATCCTTGTGAAGCTGAAATTCTAGCAGGAATCTTTCATCCAAACACCATAGTTTTTTAAAGTGTTTGTCACATATATGAAATACACTGGATGAAATCAAAAGTCAATTTATATTCTTAGGACAAAGCACAGTACAGGAGTACACCAAGTGACAGCTGTCCATAATGGGGGTGGGTGTGGAGGTGGATAATGAATTTTGCAAGTATCTTGTATTATATTTTTTAAAACCTTAAAGGCATACCATATTCCTGTAAAAATGTATTTTAAAGGCTATGCAAGTATATTTGATGACAAAAGAAAAAAAATCATGCCATAAAAATAAGAACTAAAGCGTATAATCCAGGCCATTAACCTCTAAATCTAATGACAGCTTGGTCTATTTCAGGTGCCGGGTACATCTCCTGAATCGCCAGCCTGCTGTGCTCCTGCTTGGTCAGCAGGGGAAGCACACCGCTGACACTACATGGACAACCAAAGTCCCCACGTCATTTGACAGGTGAAGTTTAAGGGATTTTTCTCAACAGACATTAAGGCCTAGACACAGAAGGGCCACTTCAGAGGATGTGTGTTTCCTTTAATGAAATGGTTTAAATAGTAGAAAAGGAATGATAGGTTGTTATGTAGTAACAATAAAATTTTTTTGAGCACGTTTTTTTGTTTTGACAATACAACCCAGAATTTGAGATAGGAGGGAAGAATGCAGATGACAGCAAAATCTCTGAAGATTAACTAAAAATCAACATCAAATGAATGTGACCTGCTCATGCAGAAGTCACCCACCCTAAGAGATGGTTTGTTTATGAATGTCCTGGTAGGTATCAAAAGCCTTAAAAATGTGTTTTGACTCAGCAATTGGTTTATCATAAGGAAATAATCAGGGAAATACACATGTACACATAAGGATGTCCAGTTATTTATATTGGCAAAAAAATAGCAATGAGAGATTAGAAAGAAATTATGCAATCAGAATAAGAGAGGTAGCCCTGTCATAAATTGCTGTAACATCCTCACTGGACTCCAGTCGTTGGCTTGGAAACTGTGTTTGTCTTCTTCATTGCAAACACCGAACAGTAAGGACTGATTAAAGGTATATGCAAACAACTCACTCCCACGCTGCCATTAAAACTTAATATATTACTAAGAAGAAAGCAATTTCTAAAATATGAGCCTATTTTAAAATTAACTATGAAATCACATTTGGTACACACATGTACAAAATGTGCTTATTTCTAGGTGTTGGTTTGTCGTCCAGCTTTTTTCTTTCTTAAAGGGCAATGCTATATTAAAAAGATGATTTATTTTCACCTTTGCAAAGAACCCAACAAACTGTCTTTTTAAAAAAAATAATTAAATTTTAAAGACTATGAGTTGTTTTGGGTGTAGTTTTTATTTTCCAGGATCTAAAGTTAATTTTTAACTATTCATAAATAAGCCTGTTATACCTGATAGAGATATTTATTCAATATCATTAATTTGTGATAGCTTTAAACTTGTTTGATGTTAGTTTCCAAAGGCTACTCGATAATCAGGAAAAATGTGACATTTAAAAAGTGGGGGCTAACTTCTTTTCAAAGGAAATGAACTTCGTCCTTTGGAAAGAGGCCAGCTTAACAACATGGAAACTAGCTACTCAGGACAAAGCAGCATGTCCCCCCCTGGACCAGACAGGACCTCTGCATGGGCTGATTTTAACTATGTGATGTACCCATGCGACACTTAGCTCCTTTAATGTTCCTCCCTAAAAGACATGGAAGTAATGTAGTTTAGGCTAGTGGGAAGGAATTGAAATCCAATTAGTTACTAATTGCATCTTTTTGTTAGATTTATTTTCTTTCTGGAATAGCTGCAAGTAATCCCAAAGTGCTGCTAATGAAGGAACTGAACCCTGTTAAACACAAGGGCTTCCAGCACTGCCCTAATAAACTGTCGACATTTTAATCAGTTCGGGGGAGCTGTGCGGGCTGCTGCATTTTCCTCCATCACAAGGTAAGAGACTGGTGCTCCCGTGGAGAACCAACAGCCAGAGGGCACTGTGAAGGGCGTGGAGGGAGATCCATCTAGACAGGGCAATCCATTACGCAGCAAGCCTCACAGAGGCTGTTGCAGAGCCGGTAACTCTCCCAGTTTGGAATACATACAATTTTTTAAAAGACCACCACATTAAAAACAATAAATTAAAATCACCGAGTATAAAATCATTAGAAAAAAACGATCCTTCTCGGCTTGAGAAATGACTTTAATCAACATGGCCAACTTGTTTAAAATTCCCCAGAATGGCAAATTAAATTAATATTTTGTCATAATTCAGGAATTGCTCCCCCCCCCCACACTCTCAAAGTTGAAATATCAGTGGGGAGATAATGTGAAAGGATGAGAGAGAATGATACGAAGGAGGTGAATGACATATTCTTCTTATCTATGAACGACCAAGATTTTTTGGTTGGAAAAACAAAGTAACTGGGTGAGCACCTACAAATAAGTGCAAAGACCTCAGGAACACTTTCACCATGGTTATTTCCACAGATAAGTTCTCAACTATTATTGGTTTGTAATAAGGCACATATCTAGGCAGCAGTCCAAGCTGCAACTAAAATACTCAAGTCAGGATGACAATCCAGAATAAATTCTATTTTATGCATAATGTCCTGCACTTAAAAACTGCTGCGCCGGGCCTGTGAGGACCTCAAATAAGCCTCCAAACGGACACCAAGTCGCCGGTTGTATTAAAAGGGAAAAAAAAAAAACCAAAAAACTAATACTCAAAAACATTTAACGTCTATTTTCTGAAAAAAGACACAAACAAAACAACTTCCTTCCTAAGCCCCCTAACCACCCAACCTCTCGAAAAATGCGTTACCTCCAGTGAAAAATATCAGGAGCCTGATGATCAAACTAATGCAGCTCTCAAAGCAGAAAACATTTTACCTTGGACGCGTCCGCCAGGAGGAAAGCAGCATTTCAACGCGCCTTCCTGACCTCACTTTCTCTCGAGGTCCCCCACTAGCTCTCCCACAGGTTGCTGGCCAGCATCGCTGTTCGCCAGCACTTTCCAGGCCTCTGCTGTGGTCCGACACCTCTCGACTGTCTGAAGTCGCCCCTGCGCGACCGGCCAACCCGAGCATCCATACCAGCCTTCCCAGGCCCCGGGGGAGCAAGGGCAGCGTGGCCAGGGCGGCCGGGCCACAGGGGCCAGGCAGGACCGCCCCCGACTGACACTCGTCACACCAGCCTCGCTAATTGTTTAAAAGGGTTAAAAGCCGGAGACGCCGCGGGGAGGGGGATGGGCGCAGGAGCGAAGCAGGCGCGGGGTAAAACCCTTGCAGGCCGACGCCTCCCGGGCCTCCTCACCCCCCCGACGCCAGGACTTCCTCCTCTGGGAGCCGGCGCTGCGGCCGGGGGAGGGCCGATAACCCGCCGGGGCGCACTGAGGGTGCAGGGCGGGCCGAGAGGGCCGCGGGGTCGGGCCGGGACGCTCACCCGCCGGCGAAGAGGTGAAGCAGCGTGTTCTCCTTCTGCTGAGTGCCCGTCGCCATGGCCGCGCCGGTTCCGCGGCCCGCCGCCGGGTGCCGGGTGCCGGGTGCCGCTGGCGCGAGGCGGCTCGAGAGGATGCGCGAGGTGGCCCGCTCGGTTCGCCCCGCTGCTCTCAGGCGTCCGCCGGCGATGCCGCCATGAGCGCGCGCCCCCGCGACCGGCTCCCTCGACCCGCGCCCTCCGCGGCGTGGCCGCCGGAGCCTCACCGGCCTCTGCGGCGCGAGCCCTGTGCCAGTGAAGCACCACCGCGCGGCCGTCACGTGGCGGAGGCCGGGCCGTGACGTTACGCGGCGGCGCGGGCCCGGGGAGGTGCACGGCGGGGGTGTGGGCCCGGATCCGCGCGCCAATTGGCCGGCGGGCGGACGTGGGCGGGGTTCCGCCCGGAGGGCTTGACTAGGAGAGGTCGGCCCGGGCCCGTGTGGTGGGAGTGAGAACTGGACGAAGCTGCCTAGTCTCTGCTCACAGATTGAGAAACTGGGCTTGGCAACGAACGTCTGGTGAGACCCTGGGTCCGGCCTTTCCCCCTTTTTTAAGTCTATTTTTAGTTTCGATGTGCAAAAAGTTATATAAATTACGTGACATCTCACAACTCTGTACTCATCACCCAGCTTAGGGGGAAAAACACGATCAAAAGGGCCTAAACCCCCAGTGCACCCTTCGTATCATTTTGTATATTTTTTATTTTTCTAGAAATAGCATTATACATTGCAATACGTTTTTTGGTCTATCTTTTCTGATCGTCTCCAGCCCAGACTCCTGAGCTCCAAGCTTCTCTATTCAAGCTGCTTTTCTACTTGTGTGTCCTTGAGTCACTGTCAAACTCAGCCTGGCATCTTCTTACCTCCAGGTCTCAACACTCAGGCCTTCCCTGGCCACCCTTGCAGCATTTCTATCACATGGCTCCATTTAATTTTCTCATACAGGCTTCTGCAGGTACTTTGTTGATTGATTTAAGTTGTCCTTCCACCCCTGGAGTGTAAGTTTCAAGAGCCCAGGGACCTTGTTCTTTTGTTCCCGGTTGTTCCTGACAATGTGTATGCCTATGCTGCTAGTAATGCCCAAGAAATTAATGGATAAATGTCCCTAACTGATCTCATCATTCCATTCTTCCCCTCCCCCGAACCTGTCTGCCTTTTTTATTTCCTGTCCTGGTATATGATGACATCACCATCTGCACAGCCACCAAAGCTAAGCGACTTTCCTGTTACCTTGGCCTCTCTCTCTCTCTCTCTCTCTCTCTCTCTCTCTCTCAGCAGCCCATCACTCACCTGGCACTTGGACCTCCTGAAATTCTCCCAAAGCCATCCATCCCCTTCTCTGTGTTCTTTCTGCTGCTGCTGTGGTTTCAAGTCTTCATTTCTTTCATCTACTTCTTAGCAAAAGCCTTCTACCTGTTCTCAAAGGCCACCCCTTCATCCCTTTAGTCTGTCACCCCCACTTGCATAGCCCTCCAGAGGCACCAGGTGCAGAATATACCAACCGTTTGTTTCCAATCACCCAAAGTTATAAAAAGCAGTACCTTGACCAGACCAAGCTGCTAGATGTCCTGTGTGTAAACACAAAGAGCTTAAGTGGAAGGGGAGTTGTGTGCAAACACAGGAGCGAGCTTTTTGATTGCTGGGACTCTTTTTAAAAACAACTCCCGGGAGCAGTCATCCAAAATACAAACACAGTGAGTACTCTATATTAAAGCCATTAGTTCCAGGCCTAGAAAGTGGGGAAAGCCATACTAGTGCTCCATATATGGGAAAAAAGGAGGAAGGAAGGAAAGAAGGCAGGCGAGAAGAAAAAGAAAGTGTTTCTCACGCTTCCTAGATGTCCCAAATCCCTTGCTTTAGTTGCTTAGGAAGTCAGTGTTGGTCCTAGCTGAATATTTATGAGGCAAGAGTAGAAAAGAGGAGAGAGCAATGCAACCCTGTTAGCCAGGGGGGAGCTGCTCCCATCTGGGCAAAATTCTAAACCCTAGGAGATGCTGCCATGCTTGGCGCATAGCCCTCCATCGTGGCTGCTCTCTCACAAAGGTGTCTGAGGCTGGGACCCAGGCTTCTAACGCCAGGGCGGCACCCAGCCTCCTGCCTTCTTTCCCTAAGGACTGTCAGTCTAGGGCTGTGCTAGACACATAAGCTGACCTTCCCACTCCTTTGTTAATAGTAACACTGCCTTCAGGTTGGAGTTTTTCCAAGGTCTCTCATGTATGTCATCTTGTTGGATACTCACAGTGTTTGGCTGTCCTGTTGTTTTCGTTCCTTTTTTATGGTTAAGTATGATAGATTTGCCCAAAGTCACACAGCTAGTTAGTGGCTGATGCAATGATCTTTCATGCTCTGTGCCTTGAAACATGCTGTTGCTTAGGAAGCCCCCTTTCTCGGCCTGCCAGATAGAGAAAGCTATCTGATTCATTCATTCATTCATTCATTCATTCAACATGTTTATTGAGCTTTTACTCTGTTCAAGTCAGTGTTCTAGGATCTGGTGGGTACAGCAGGGATTAAAATGGATAAAAATCCTTAGTGAAACAGTAGCAATCAAATCCAGCCATATATAAAAAGGAGAATACATCACGATCAAATGAGCTGCCCCAGGAATGGGGGGTTGGTTTAACATTAGAAAATCAATCAATATAATTCAGCATCTGTTGTGTATTAGTTTAATACAATTTCAAACCCACTCATTTACAACTTAAGTGAAGTTGTTTTAATCTACTTGTTTATGACAAAGAAAAAAAGTTACGTTGATATAAGAATGAAGTAAGTCATGCCAAGATGTCATTCTAAGGGCTGGCTGAGTGGCTCAGTTGGTTAAGAGCTCGCTCAAGAGTTTGAGCTCTGAGCAACAGCGGTTCGAGTCCAGCCCGAGCTGAGCAGCCGCTGAGCTGCCAACAGGTAGCAGGATGGCTCAGCTAAAAACAAAAACAAAAACAAAAACAAAAACAAAAACAAAAACAAAAACAAAACAAGATGTCATTCTACATCAGTTGTGGTTGATAAGCAGTCAGCAGCCCAGCCGCTGAAGGACCCGCCTGGGAGCTTATCCATAAGAACATGTGGAGAAGCAACCAGGCCAAGGGGACATTGAGACTGTCATTACAGACAGTTTATGAGGACTACTTGAGAGTTTCAGTTTGGGTGAGGGACTCCGAGGGACTCTTTGCCAATATAAAACCTCTCCAAAGACCTGTGGGGGTATTTGCACATGTCTTGGTGAGGTAGTTTTCAAAGACAGTGGTAATAAACTTCTCAGCACCCTGTGAAAGAGATCAGGCTGCCCACCAACACTGTCATCTTCATTTCCTAACAGCGTGCCTTAGCAAACAAGGACTGGTATTCTTGCCTTGGCAGCTGGAAATCAGCTCTTTGGTTGGTTGCCAATGCTCCCCAGTGCTTCCTCATATGAAAAAGATACACCTTGGTTAAAATTACGACTTTATTTATTCACCTCCCTTTGCCTGGAACTATAGTGTGATTAATTTGTCATGTGGAATATACTATTTGTTTATTTGGCTTATTAAAAGATAATTGCCCTGTATGCTATTGGCTTATGGGATTAATATAACTCTCACAGCAAACCTGTGCTAAGTAAATCACTGGCAAAGGCAAAACTTAGTTTCTAAAGCATACTTTTGCTGCCTCCCCAAACAAAAACAAAAACACAGCAGCATAGTCACAGAATAAAAGGAGAAAAACCAGATGATCATGTCAATAGATACAGAAACAACATTTGACAACTGAATACCCACCCCTGAAAATGGTTCTCATCAAACTGGGAACAAGAATGAATTCTTCTACCTGATAAAGGGTATTTGCAATAAACCTACTTAATTGTAAAAGCTTGCCTGCCTGCCCCCAAGACAGGCAACAGGAAAATACATCGACACTTACCACTTATTCCACGTGGTAGTAGAGGTCCTAGTCAGTGCAATAAGGCAGGAAAAAGAAATAAAAGCCATAAAACTCAGAAAGAAAGAAGTGAAATTGTCTTTAGTCACAGATGACATCATTGTTAATGAGAAAATCTTAAGGAAGCGATATAACAACTGCTGGAACTAGTTAGTGAGTTTAGCAACATCATAGGAGACAAGATCAACATACAAAGAAGAAAGGACTTTTTGCTATCTGCAAACAATTTAAATATGAAATTTTTAAAAATTCTATTTACAATAGCATAAAAAAAAATAGCAACAACAAAGAAGCCAGACATAAAGGAGTACATGATTCCATTTATATGAAATTCTAGAAAAGACCAAACTAATCTATAGTTACAGAGAACAGGTCAGCACATGCCTAGGGCTAAAACTGTGTTTGGGAATGGATTGACCACAAAGAGGCCGGAGGAATTTCTTAGGGTGATGGAAATGTTCAGTGTCCTGCATCCCGATCAGGAGATATATATATATATATAATTTTTTTGTTGTTGTTGTCAAAATTCATAAAATGTTACACTTAAAGTGGGTGCATTTTGTTGTATGTGAATTATGTCTCAATAAAGTTGATTAGAAAGAAAAAAAGCAAGGCAGGCCACATATAGAAATGTATGTACCACATATCTAATTTAGAAATGAAGAAGTGTTCAGACAGCTATACACAGAGCTCCCCCTTAGGTGTTGCTGTGTTACAGATCAGGCTGGGTGGGGTGGGGGAGGGGCTTCTTTGGTTATTTTTGTAACCGTTCAAATTTTAAAGGGCCCCAAGTTTTCTGCGGACCTGTTGTGTATCTCTTCCAGCTTTCTTTCTCTGACTATTGGCTGTGAAACCTCTAATTGCTTTCTTTTTAATTCATTCTTTAATCTCTCTCTCTCTCTCTCTTTCTCTCTCTCTCTCTCTCTCTCTCTTTCTCTCTCTCTCTCTTTCTTTCTTTCTTTTGACATCTAATTGCTTCCTGAAGCCTGTTTTTCTGCAAAAGCTGCTGGCTGTTGGAAAAGCATCCCACTTCCACCCTCAGGGGCTGCCATTTCATATTGTTGCAGGGAATTGTAAGGGGCAGCTCAGTTTTGCAGACAGCCTAAGGCCAGAGCAGGGCAGATTTCTTTCCTGAGAGGCCTCGACTAGAATGAGAAGACCCACAAGGTCTCTGCCTGCCCAGGGGCTGGAGGGCAGCAGGGCAGGTGGTGTGGCTGGGGAGCAAAGGACAAATGCCCGCAGGCCACTGCTCCCCCTCCTTTCGTTTCTCCTCTACAGACCCATCCTGAGCCAAGTTTCCAGCTACAGCCCCTAACAGCGCTCTGCAGGCTGAGCCTTCTCGTAAATGAAAG